CCTCAATATTATGTTATAATAATTCGATAGCAAAAATAATAAATATAACTAGGGCACTGCCGCGCCGATTCCACCACACGCACGATGACGCGTATGGATTCTGTATAACAATAATACCGACCATTTGATTCGATAACTTATGGCTCCGCACGAAGTTATATGACAACCGGTGAAGCAGTTAACGTAATAATATTATAATCGCAGTTTATGACGTCCGAAAATATTTTAAACGGCGCCATTAGCACAATATATTTACGAAATACCAGACAAAAAAATATGGAATGCATCTGATGTCGCCAGTCGATTCCAAAATAATATGCTTCCGAAAAAAAGGGTGTACACATTCCACTATGCGGTATTACTATATTATATATTATATTTATAGACATTAGATGAGGGGTATGTTTGTTGTGTAGAACGATCCGAAATAACCATTTTATGGTGTGCTATACCATTACACACGACGTCGTAAAATGAGAAAGGGACAAGATCCATCACGCCGGGGGTAGGTTTAAAATTAGATTAATCGTGTGATTTTTCATAAGGCGCATTTAAATTATTTTTAAAAAACTACTACACTAACAAAAAAAAGTTATCTACTTATAAACTCATTTTTTCACTCTTTCGAAGATGAACCGCACAAACCATTCTGTAGGTAATCCATGCACACGGAACAGGTTTGACTGCCCACGCGGGTCGAACGAAAAGAAAGATTTTCTATTGAACCTGGTAGATATTATGACTCATCCGCACCGATTTGGTTTCGGTATAACGAGTAACGAAGCATAGTATTCAAATATCTAAGGTCAAGGAGCAAAATAAACCATATCTCCAATCACACATATGTTTATCAGACGGTACGAAAGAAATTATGGTAAGAATATATTACGTCGTATGCAATACTACACTGGTAAGATAATAAATTACATCTATATGTGTACACTGTACAGGCATCAGACAGTTGTATAGTTACATTAACACTAACACTTACAATAGCAGTCGTTATTATTAATAATCATATCAATCGTCAAATAAATAAAAATTCTATTATCTAACAAAACAATAAATTGAATGAGTAATTAATAGGTTAGTTTAGAAAAATATAGTAAGCGGAGACTTAAACGTTGAGTCGTTGACGCGCGCCGCAATATCACATACAATTTTAATACAGACTTTTGTTTAAAAAATAGAACCCGAAGAACGTTATTTAATTGTGGGTAGTGTTTATGTTTACAATCAATTCAATGATATTACAAATTTAATACTAAAACAATAATCATTTGATATTTAATTCATAGCAAAATAGAATAGAAATAAAAACCGATTTAATAATTTTACACGAGGTCCATTTGATAGGGATCAACAAGCAAAAACATAATAATAAGTATATTTGTATTAAATGCCGTTAAAGGATCCGATAATAAAAACGAAAAACATGACTAATTGGACGAAACACGATCCATAAATTACGGTTTTAGAGGCACAAAACTAAAAAAAAAGTACATAATGGTTATTTAAGGATACAAAAAACTACACACAGTACCTCGAACAGTACATACGAATACGATACAGATCCACACATAAAGTAGGTACAATAATTGCAGAGGGTCGATTAATAATACACTGTAATACACACACGTGTATATTTTACTTTTCGTTTACCCTCATACGAGGATATAAATTCGTTTTTACGGTCTTTTGAACGACAGTACGTGGTCAACCAGAATAGGGTTGCCCCATCCATTACCAGACGCAGGCCACCCCTCCCGCCGACAGTAGGAGTAATATTACAAACGCATTTTATAAATAAAAACATACGTAGACAGACGCACCCCAAAAACTCGTCTGTGCGACAATGGTTGACGGCGACGGTCGCGCGCGCGTTTGCCAGCATTAAACACACAGCTCCCGCACACGGCGAACCCGCGGGGCGGCACACCCCTTCCTGATTACACCCTCCCACGAGGCGCGTTTTTCCATACGAGTAGTATACCATGCACTGTACAGCAATATTATTTTCGTCTCGCCAGCGGGGTTGTTCACACACACAGCTCATATTTTTATTATTATTATCACCATTATTTAGGTCACGTGGTTAATGTCTGAATTTTTTTCCTCTCGGACATAAAATATAATATTCAATCGCGGAACAAAGTAAAAATAATATTTCCACGCCCTTTCACACACTTCTGCGCCCGCACCGGATACCTGAATGCGGTTATCGAGGGAGCGGACACGTACGCATGCATATTCTTTGAAGACGAAACGTTATATCACATTAAGTTAAGTATATTATAGAATAAAATATAATAATATGCCGTGCAGCGGTGGTGGTGGTGGTGTCCGAGTAACAGCAAGCAGCTGCAGATGGTCGGGGGACGGGTATCGACGACGGCGACGACGACGCAGAACCGGTGAACCGTGCGCGCGCGCCTCGTGTTGTCTTCACGGTCTCGGCCGAGTTCGCATCCCGATTATTGTGTTATAGAGTACCATTATAACGGACAGGGGTTCGAAAACGTGTTCATGGACAACTATTATTATACTACACAGCCACGCATGGAGGAGAAGGCAGAGGGGTCGGGTCATGGCGCGGCGGCTGCTGTTATTACTAACTGCTCTCACTGAGAAGATAAAGGAATTATTTATTTGTCCTAGCTAAATCTATGGGCATATCGGTTATCACACATATGAGTGACACACGACGGGGAATACAACTTACTGGGTACACACTATACACTACACACCACACGGACGCCCGCATCCAAAAATATATACCTGCTGCCCACAAGGAAAGGACGACCGGAAAACTACAGATACACAAGGCCGGTCTGTCGTCCCCAAACAGATCATAAAATTATTTTGAGTTGACAATAATAACATTATTAAATATAATATGCTACAACCACCGATATATTATCAAAAAATGATAACGAGGTCATTACGATAAGTCCAAAAAGAATTATTCTACAGGTATGTAGGTATTTAAAATATAAATCTCTATTCCTATGTACGAGGAAAATGGAAATAGTTCGGGAGAACTTTTAAATCTGTTGGTTTTTTTTTATAAAGCACATAATAGTACACACGGTCGTGATTACGCATCGACCAATTATTTGGCAATTAGGATAGGTAACGACGTCACTGTTGTTAGTACACGAGTACATCACTACAGCCGGAATTAGGAAACCAGAATAATATAGTAATAGGTTCGGGAGGAATACCAACGTTGCGTAACACAAAACAATTTGGTTTAGGAATCTATTTACGAAAATATCGATTAGGCCAAGTTAATTTGTACACCAATTCGCTTTGGATCATTAGGTTGACGAAATATTTAATATGTGAACGCGTTCGAAATAGGATACCACGGTCCACGACATGTCTTTCATGCGAAACGTGAAATTACATCTCTTCTAATGAATCTAATCTAGCTTTACTACGCTTAGGGTTTCTAAAAACACAATTGCGAACACGAGAAATATATTCCTATACGGATTTCATTTCGATATAATATTACTTTATTAGTGTGATGTTAAGTATAATACTGTAATGTAAAGAATCTGCTGAGGCATACCGAAAAACTACATCGACATTCTTTTACAACACATTATCTCTCATGCCACAATAATATGTTCCTGTGCAAAATTATTTATATCGACACCTCTGACCTATCGAATATATTGTAATGAGTTTGGTATGTTCATGAATGATAATATGTAATTTGATTAACACGATTTTTTTATACATTGAATATATTAACTTGTTATAGGTACCAATCATACAGAAAAATGCTGACTTGACATTAAAATGATAGTATATAATAAAATCATTTATAGGTTCACAAAATAAGTTACGTTTTACATTTCAACAATCATTTTGGTTATGCGTAAAAAGAGTAAATTCATTTTTCATTTATATAACGGAAGTTCGTGAACAAAATATTAACAAGTCCGGAAATCGCCTAAGGTCACTGAACAGTACCTACAGACACAAAAAAATTAACTAGGTAGCTACCTAATATTTAATGTTACTTCAAAAAGAACAAATAACGTATGTACCTATCTGATTTAAGAATTTTGGAACAATTTCATAGTTTTAAAGAATTACTGATGAGTATCAGACCCCATTGAATAATATAATAAAATAAGAAAAGTAATACGTATTTATCTTTGTCTATATGCGGACTATTCATTACCTTATAGTGTAGAAATAGTTAAAAATTGTACTTTACAAGAGCAACACACAACATAATACATGTTATTATATTTAAAAGTAGTTTTCTTTTGTTTTACACAAACACGCGTATTTCTTATAACTATAGCGCAAAGCAATTCGTTTCAACGTTAGGTACACTTGGAGTACAATAATAATAGAATAATTATAAAGCGTACACAAAAGTTAGTATTTAACAAACAATAATGCATAATACATTAATATATTAAATTCCTACTCCGCCCCGCAGACAATAAAAATACGTTTTTCAAATTGAAGTCTTTATTCTTAGAGAATCCTATGGACGGTTGGTCAAGTACTTTTTCCGAATCAACCACTCTGACAAAAACAACGCCCAACATGAAAGGGGTTAAGTTCGAAAGTTCGAAAATAAAAAAAAAAGTACTAAAATCAAAATAAGGGCGTGGAAATTTATTGTAAACGACGACGACGGCGGCGGCGGCGGCGGCGGCGGCGAAAAGGAAATAGGTACTACGCAGACCGAGGGGACCCGTGTGCCGCCGAGACTTGAACGGTGGGCTAAGCCGGTGAGTGGGCATGTGTGAACGAAATAACTGGTAAGGTTTATGCCCGTTTTGTTTCTGGTATCAGTTGTCCCGGGGAAAGGGCAGGTGCGAAAGAGCCCGCCGACAATGGCTACCATGGGGGCAAGGTAGAGTAAAATAAAAGCCACACGGGGACAGTGGTCGTAACTACGGCATAGCAATGCAATGTGTAGCGAATAAAAAAAATGTAATAGTAATATTATAATAAAAAACACTCACTTGACAGTAGGAGACGGTGGCGGTGAAGTCGTCTGAAGACTTGAATACCGCGAAAATCACTACCCAAAAACACTGGAACGTATATAATGGTCAACCGAACAATGTTCGATATTTTATTCCGGCGGTAAAAAAATATATTTTTTCAATGAATAAAAGTGTGTACGTAAATATAAATGCGTAATATTTTGTATACAATATAAATATATAGATATTATATTGTGAAGAAATGGACAAAATTAAATAAATCACGAAAATATAGATTCTCGGCGATTCACAGTCAGTGTGCGTGAAGCATCGAAAACAACGACGATCTGCCGGAGCGGCTTGGAATCGGTTTTGCCGTTTGTCGTTCAGCCGTAGCCGCGCGGCCGGCCAGCCAATCACAGTGGTCTATTACCCACGCCGCCAACAATGCCGCCAACTTAGGGTGTGGTCGACGCACAATTGCCCATAATATAAAATGTCTCTGGCACAGACCCACACTGGTTCACGACGCGGAGTATGCAGCGGTTTTCATCAGTTATCACTTATCACTGATTGCTGTTTCGACGATTATCAATAACATTCAAGATTTTATATCACACAGAAAGACCTAAAGGCTGAAAAGTGAAAATATGTAGGTTGTAAATCCAATTTTCGACTTATCCGCAAGGTTATAAATTAAGCCTTAAAGCGCTAGCCTCTGAGTAAGGAATAAACTCTTAAGAAAATAGAGAACTGATAATATTACAACATCTTCAGAGTATACATGTAAGTATTAAAAATGTAACAAATCACAATTGTATTTATCTGACTGTGCGTTTGTTCTGTCCGTCCATATTTACTGTCGATTTTCAACTGTCAGGTTTTCCTCTTCCTTTATCTTTATTATAATTACAAATTCTAAATTCAAATAGGTTCTGTCTGAATTGTCTACATTTTAATTTGATGTTGAAATTAGATGAATATTATATTTATTTTACATCAAAATTGTTTATTATTGTATTTTAATGCCAAATATTTTAAAAAACCTTATAGGTTAGGTAATTATTTAACATATACATTTATTATACACAAAATAAATGTAATTACTTTTTGTGGGAGTATAAATATGTTAATTTAAAAAGCAACCCGTCCAAAATTAACTTATGTCCATGAACACAAATTAACAATTAATATGATAATATTATAATAATATGTAGGTTCCCAAGTTAGATTTGTATTTACGATTGTTCAATTAATTATATGCATTTTTAATACACATTTGTTTTTTTAGACATGCTATGTGATGTCCGGTCTAAATCATGTACAAAGAGTTCGTTTATTGTATAAAACTATTTTAAGGCTGCACAGAGGCCTACCAAATGAATTACAAGAACTTGGTCAAGCATATGTACGTGATGAATTTCGTCGACATAAAAACTGTAATCCTAAAGAAGCTCAAACATTCATGCTGGAATGGAGTGTATGTATAAATATATTAATTATCTAAATTGAGTTTTTAATGATATTAAAATAATTGATTTAATTATTTTCCACTTAGAAATACACATTGACACTATCAGAGCAGTTGTTAAAGAACTCAAAATCAAATATTGGTTTTGGAAAAAATATTGATAAACATGATGGTGCATTAGACTCTTTCACAGATGATCAAATTATACAACTTTATAATTTATTCAAGGAAACTACTGGAATCCAAGACAAAACCATTGAATCTGAGCTTTCAAAATAATTCAATTAAACTATGTTTATAGTACCTACTTAATACATATAGATATTTATTTATGTTACAAATTTGTAACTTTGGTAGTTGCTTTAAAATATAATATTATTGTTACTGCATGTAATTTTTTAATTTGTTGAATTCTCAAATTATATACATCATACTTAACATACACATATTTTGTAAATTAATTTTATTTACCTCAATAAAAAATTATGAATATTTATATATGCATAACATTATAATGCAAATGGTTCTCTCTTAGTCAAATATAGTATTATATTTTTATCATCAAAAAGTAGCGTTTGCTATTATCATTGATGATCAAATTAACAAGAAATCATTTTAATTGTTTTCCATTTGTTAAATTACTTAAATAAAACTTTTGTGCAATTAAGATCTTTTTTTATTACACTCTCACACTTATTGTAAAGATAAAATATATTATCTAGAAAAATTAATGATCTTTTCAAAATGTTATTTTTTATAGTCAATCATAATGTCTTACAAATTATTTATTTATATAATATGTTAATGAACATTGATTGCATTTACTAGTATAATATTCAATTAATTAAATTGAAATTATTACACTTTATAGACTTATCTTCTAGGCAGTATTCAATGTAATTGGATGATGACAGTCTAGTTGTTGTTTAACTATTTAAAATGTATTTTAAGACCAATTTATGATTTATAGTGCAATATGTTCTAATAAAAATGAAAGGCTTTGGATACTCATATCAATAAATACAGACATTACAGTCATATATGTTTTTATAAATTCATGTTGTATTACATCTATAGTATGGAACTAACCAAATAATTATTAATATTGTATAATTGTTGAAAACTGGTTTCAAATGTATAAAATTGTTAGTTAAGTATTAAATTAACTCATGAGATTATGACAATAATTAATACCATTGATATTAAACATACAGAAATTACATTCCTATCTTGATTAAACATATGAATGCTTTTTGGCCAATAAGTAATAATGAAACAAAGGTTCTTATTTGTACAGGTACTTCTGGACAATACAGAAACTAATATTTGAACGAGAATGAAAATATATGCCGGATGGTGATGTTGCGGTGGTATCAGCTTTGTCTGCTAACAGAATTTATACAATACCTCATCCATAAGCTTAAAATTACTGATAATTTCTAACTGGAATGTATTATGGACACATAGGTAATTCTATTTTGAAACACAAATGGAAAATTGTAAACTTAGTACGGTAATGTTGAGTAACAAAAATATCAATATTATAAACTAAGCATTAATTTTGTACTCAATATACCTACATTTGATGTGTGACATGTGTGTTAGGTCCCTATTATGTACTGACTTTCTTTTAACTGTTACTGTTTTTATTTTTTAAATAATATCTACCAAATATGTTAAAAATGCCTTTAGTTTTTTTTTAAATACTTCAAGTATATATTTACATGGTTTTAATTTAGGTTCATAATAAGTGTTTAACAAACTACTGATATGTGACAATCAAATTATTATTATAAATATATAAATACCTATTACCCAACCTTTCTAATTTATTTGTGTTTGTATTTTACAATTTAAGTAAATCAAACTTAAATTTCAATAACAAAATATAACAATACATAACAATATTTTAATGATAATTTTTGATAAAAAAAAGTTTTAAAATGCATATCTATAATAACAGTAAATAGCTGAAAATAAAAATTTTTAATTTTCAAATGGATTTTGTTTTTAAGTGTTAAGATCTTATAGTTTAGATTTAAGAGTTTTTAAACATAAATGTCCACATTTTATTTATTTCCTCAATACCTATTAATCCTAATTTTAGTAGGATTATTAGAGTATTGAGTATTTTGAATAGGTACCTACATTTATTATGCCATTATATTATAAAATAGGCATGTATATTATTTTGTGTTAAGTTTTAGTACTAAGGCTTGAAAATGTATTATTAAATTCCTCGTATTATTTCACTAGATTAAAAAAAAGTTGGTAACACTCTACTGTACATTACATGTCCAGAGAAGTCACTGGGGTAGATGTGTTAAATTTGAATTCAAGGCACGATTAGAGATTAGTACCTACTTCAGACTTCAGTAGCTAGAAATTAAATACATTTTTGCCAAAGAATTGCATTTGAAAATTTCACTGTGTATGTACAATTTAATAACAAATATTAAAGGTTTCAAATACTCAGGAATAATCTTTTAAAATTTCAATTTGAAACAAATTAAATTATTATTCTTTATTTAAATATCTAATTTCCTCCAAATTTGAACTTGAAATGTCTATAACAAAATCTGCGTCTGTAATTTTTTAGATTGTTTGGTTACATTATGAACTGCTTAATTTAAACCTTGTTTTAAATGTTCAAACCTTAGTTATACAATTTAACAACAAAATAATTTTCTAATTTTCTTCAAAATTCTTACTTTAAACACTCATAAAAAATGATTGTAGATTTACACTCAACTTTTTTTTTAATCTCTACTTATAATAACTTATGAGGGACGTTGTACTAAATTTTTAAAAAAACTTATAAAAACCAACAATTTCTTATCCCTGTAGCTCAAAATGAATCAAAATATTATTTAGAGTTACACCAAAAACCAATTTTAGGTAAAAATTCTTGGTTTTCGTTAGGTAATTGTTTTTGTCTGTTTTTCTCGGTGCTTTTTAAACTACTGAGAATTTAAAATATTGAACTCCCAAATGTGAAATGAGCCTACTAAATTTACTTTTAAACCATAAAAGAGTTTTAAGAAGAAAGTCAAACTATTATTTCCTTCGAATTCTTATCGTGTACACAGACATAAAAAAATATACGTCATTGTAAAATGAATAGTTACATTCATCCATCCGCTCAGAATCAAAATTTTAAACATATAAAACACTTAAGTTGAATAATTGTACAATGACGGACTTCAAATGAAAAAGAGTTCAAATTTTGACGACGTTGGAATATATTGGATATTCGAACTCAAGCATACAAGATACAACGATTTACTTTTGCAAAATTATTATTATTTGTTATTATAAAAAAATTACAACTGTAATAAGGCCTTACATATTTTGCCAATACCTACGTATAACAATATTAATATATTCTGTACCTTCATAATACATTTTTTTTAAATAGTTAGACTAATGTTTCTAAGCTAGGTATAGTATACCTGGTATACAATAGTATAGGTACCATAAACCAATTCATACCGTTTTACGATATGTGGTAAATATTGAATTAAAGTTAATAACAATGCGTATTACTACTAGTATCGGTGTAGCAATTTACTGCTTATTCCAAGCTCTTTTTCCTCATAAATGGGTAACTATAAAATATACTAATATCATAATATTATAGCCTATAATATTCAGTATTTCTTAATAATATGAATTATATTATCTTTAGCAATACATTATACAATTAAAATAGTTATGAACTTAAGAAAGTGATAACAGCATATTGTAAATATTATTATATTAACTAGAAATTAGAAATTATCAAATAGTAGGTCAGTCGTAAATCACTAATCAGAATAAAAATAGTATTTCACCTTGATGGTTTTTTTTTCAAAACCTGTTTTCTCGGGCAGAATACCTGTATGGTGAAAATAGATTCTCCTATTGTACCATCATTGGATTATTTATAATAAACCAGTTATTTATACGCATTTGCTAAAAATGTTGTTTTATCTGATTAAAACCGTTCAGATCTAACTTTTTTTATAAACAATTTATTTTATAAAGAATTTGCGAGCAAAACTGGAGTTTTGACATATTTTGTTGCCAACAAGTCTTTAAACTTACTCAATGCAAAGAATATGTTTACTATTAAAATTATTATTATTTAATTATTTTTTTTTTTTTTTTTTTTTGAACTTAAGCTTCGGCAACTGAGGCCATTAGCTGTAGTAGGATTTGTATTGTAGTTTGTATTGTATATTTTTTGGAACGGTAGGGGGGAACACGTGTGTGTTTGTTTTGGCAGAATTTCGAATGGGGCACCCGTAGGTTTCTGCCATGCCCCGGGGGTGGGGGATGGCAGCACTTGTTCTCCGGTCACCGCGACTTGTCCGGAGAAAAATGCCGCCCGGTAGCCGAGGATCGAACCGCGACCGGCTGCGTCGCAGCGGACGCGTCAGACCACTCGGTCACCTCATCCCCCACATTATTTAATTATTATTACTATTTTTTTTTTAAAAGTCCCAAATTAAAAAAACCCAATTCAAAGTAAAAAAAACGTTCCACATGACAATTAAAGACCCATGTCTGTATTGTTGTGATATTTCGAATAATATTATATATTTCTTTATTGTTCAAGAACTACAATATAGTTTTGCCTATTTTGTCCATTTTAAACTGTAGTTGCATTTTGTTACATATTTCTGTGATGCTACACAACCACTCTTTAGGGGGTTTTATATAGGCAATTAAAAAAAAGTATACAAATTAAAATGTAATATCTTAGATAATAGATATCTAAATATTGTTTCAAGCTAATTTCAAAGTAAATGACATATTGTACAACCATGGTTGTTTGTTGTGTAATTAAGAAATAATATAGGAAATGGTTCTATGTGAAAAAAACTACAGTCTTGTAAGATATAATAATGAAGGTAACATTGGTACCTATACCAAAATAATGGAAACCACATTTTTGTACCACATTGAAGACAATATTTGTTGTGTTTTATTTTTCTAATTTAAAATTATTATGTTCGTTTTTGTTGTTTCAAACTTAAATAACTATTTGTATATTAAAAACATTATTTAAAAAAAAACTATATAATACAGACAATTGTCTCTGCTTTATCGTGTTTAAGTTCGACTTTTAAACTATGACTTTAGTATGGGTGGTTCTTTATCTAAATTATCAAGCAAAATAGCATTTACAAATAATTTATGGGTGTAATATGGCACTGCGACGTCCTCTTAACAATGAGAGTTTCGATGGTAATTTATTGCAGTTAAAAATGTTGATAGAGTGAATAATGCAGTTAGGTGTGATATAAAAACCACTTAAATAGTTGTATCTATAAAAAAAAATGTAGGTTATTAAAATTAAATTTTTAAGTTAAATTACTATAACTACTACAGTTATAAGTTATAAAATTACAGGTATTTTATTTTATAATATTGAGACCTGCGACATTAATTCTGTACATTGATTAAGTACCTGTGTTATAACTATTTATCCTAACCACTGCAACCACATGACTAAGTATAGTTGTATAGACTTAAAGGCTTCAATACGTTTAAAGAATTTATGTTGAATATTGATTCGGTGTTTAATGGAGGAACAATTTATTGTATAATAATATAGTGTAATAAAATTCTGAGGAAATATTTAGTAGGTATTTATCATACTTATGAGCGATGATGACTCAC